TGTTGCACATTCTTCAGGAGCCCCTGAATCTCCTGTAAGGAATAGACTAGCTACAGCTTTGCATGAATCCATAGCTTCTGGGGCATTTTTTGGGACGTACTGCAAATTGGACTCTCTGTATGATGAGAGTGGGTTGAAGCAGAAAGAAAAATGGGATGAACTGATCCGTGACAAGGGTTCTGAATTAAAAGATGTATGGAACTTCGATGTTGGTGTTGGTCAATTTCAGTAATATATTCCTGCTTTATTTGAGTGGCTTGTATGATCTAATCATTGTGTATCGTTCTCCTCAGATACTGAAGACTGTAACTTTTGAGCTTCATGTTCAGGAGCCTTACTTCACTCAACTAAAAGGTACAATTTCATTATGTTCTTTACATTAGAAACAACCATTTCAATGAAAAATTTTTGAATAATTCTACTTGGTTACCTGAAATACTGTGGATGGGTGCCAATTGTGCCTGCATTGATTGAACAAACCGTTTGATGGTATCAACTATCAAGGTATAGGCGCCTATAGCAGCTACCCGTTTTTTGTTGGAAAAGAACTGATGGTAAAATTTCATTCATGAAGAAGAAACATATTGTCACCTGTTTGTTGTTTTTCCTTTCTTTTTTTCATTTTTTTTTCCTTGAGGCTTGTTTCGTAGTAATTAGATATTCATTGTAGATGGGTTAAAAACAATTGAAGGAAGGTGTGCTGTTGGCAACTATAACAGGTATGGCTCACACTTGATATGTTTTTGAATAATCTGATGCTGGATTTCGGTGTGTCGGTCCTTCTTTCCCACTGGGTGCTATATGCCATTTATGTTTCATTGTCTTTAAGTATATTCTTTTGTTAAATTCATTCTTTGAAAGGGGAACCCTCCATGAAATTGAAGTCAGTATCTGTGTGCCTTACCAACTACTGGTCCATGCATGGTGTAATTGTTAGCTTGAGATTTTTCTTTTGTTTTTCTTTTTGCTGGTTATGCTGGCAACATATCTTGTAGGGAATACTGAAATATATTTCAAGGGTTTTCATTTGTATTTTCTGCTAATTTGCTTCTGGTTCAGGATTACCTCAGGGGCTATGATCCTCTTTAATAAATGCTTGGTGCTTGAGGTTCAGGTAAGTAAGATGTCTATCATGCTCATTTATTCATGCTTTCTTTTTTCTAATTTGTTTCTTTATATTTCTTTTAACCGGTAGGATATTCACCATCATTCCTCATTCTCGGAGATGTTGGAAACAGAGGGTCTGACAAAAGTCGTTCCTGGAGTTCAGACAGTAGAAGAAGGTAATGATGTACTTTTGCTTGGCATGATTGAAAAATACTTAACAAATTGATTGACTGGTTCCTGTATTGTAGCCAAATTGGAGAATTTTACTACTGAACATGGTCTATGAAGTGATTCTTAATCATAAATACATTGCCATCCAATTTTTCAGGGGTTAAAGTCTACAGGAAGTTTTACACAGAAGAGAAGGAGAAGTCCAATGGTGTTCTTGCAATTTTTGTGGCAAAATTAGCCTGTCAACCCTACCTTACTCTAGCAAGAATACTCTGTGTGAGTTAGCTAATTTGCTTTCCTGCTCTCATTTATGCTCACAACCATATGAAAATGAAGCAATCTCAGAAAGAAATAGAAAAAGAAAGAGAAAAAATCTTTAGTAGCCAAACCAGATAAGATGACTAAAGTGGCTAAATTAGTGTAAATCCAAAACTAAGAAAAATTGATTAAAAAAAAAAAAAAGAAGAGAGAGAAAGAAAAATGTTTCTTTTACCATGATATGATTACAGTGAACTTGACCAAGAAGTCTTTCTATCGTTATTAATATGCTATATCTTTTGTTTGATCCAGGGGTTGAGTTATGCAGGGATTCAAAGTCTTTTGAGTCGTGACCTATGACACTGAGTAAGAATTGACAACATCAGGTCCTCTCTATCTGCTTTCTAATACAAAGTTGAAAGTAGAGGAGGATGTCTGATGGAGAGCTGTCATGCAGAAAGCACAATTCATGACTCCATCCATTCATCCCTTCAGTTTGAAAAATTGTAGTAGTGTTGGCTTTGCCTGCTCAGACATTATTTGCACCATTGCTGGCTGCTCCGAACTTCAGATGGATTGTTCGTTGATGAGGATATTATGTTCAAGAAATAGTGAATGAAAGGGAGGATTCCTCTGTTGTAGATTTCCCCCAACAATGACTAGTGTATTTCATAAACAATTGAAAGTTGAAAAATAATAAATTTGCATGTTCTTCTAATTTCTTTGTATTGTTTAAGGTATAGTTTGGTAAATACTTTGGAAATTAATATTTTGACAGTCAAAATCAAAAAATCTTGACATTTAAAATTTTAAGGTTGTCTGTATAATTGTTTAAATAATAATGTTATAGTTATAATTTTATATAATATTAAATAAATATAATATAATATTAAATAAATAAATAAATTTAATATTATGAGTAAATTTTTAATAAAAATTAATTAAATGATAGTATATTATATTATAATTTTATAATATTATTTAATATTATAATTATAATATTTTTATTGTTTAAATACCTTTAAACCTATTTAAATTTATTATTATTATTTATTATATTTTTAAGGTTAAATCCTTAATTTAGTCCTTGAATTATTGTATAGATCCCCCATTTGATCCTTAAACTAAAAAAATCCTTGATTTGGTCCTTAAATTATTGTACGGACCTCGATTTGATTTCTACTGTTTACCAATTTACCTCAAGTTGGTTCTTTCATATAAAAACCAACTGATATTTCTTGTTATTAACATGACATATTGTCGTTAAATTACTATTTTTTGTCATTAAATTACTATTTTTCGTCATTAAATAATGAATACATTAGCTTTTTTTGTACGGAAGAACCGATTTGAAACAAATTGGTAAATAATATGGATCAAATTATGAGTCTGTATAATAGTTAAAGGACTAAATTAAGAATTTTTTAGTTCAAAACTTAATCGAAATCTATACAATAGTTTAGAAACCAAATTTAAAAGATTAACTTATTTTTAATCATTTTATTATCACATTTTAAAACTTTTTATTATTATTTTTTACAATATTTTAATAGGTATTAGTATTTTTTTTTGGTAATCCCAAAAAAATTGGGGCTCTTATCAGTCGCAACACATCATGAGAAAGATGCTTTCCAATGACTTGACCGGTGCTAAACATGACAGTCCAGAAATGACAAGAGACCATTTTGGCTCCTTATTCTTTTCTTTTCTTTCATTAATCACCAACAAATTTGTCTTCTTCATGTTGAGCTCTTAATGCTGAAAACTTCATTCTTTTTTTTTTTTCAAATAATTTTTCTTTAATCAACCTAATTTATGAGCTGGGTATAAACAATATTACTCATCATTTATTAAGTCTAAATTTAAAGGCTTTTCGTTCTATTTTCTTTTTTTTTTTCAATTGTGCTCTTAACATTTATTTTAAGGTGTATTTAATGTATTTTTTAATTATTATATTCTATAAAAAAATATTATAAAAAATTGATGTTAATTTTAAAATTATATTATGAATGTATTAATTTAATTAATTATTATTAAAATTAAAATTTCATTTTATTTTTATATAATTTAATAAAAAAATATATTGAATACATAAATTAAAAATTTCTTCTTTATTATATTAAATAACATTATATTGACAAAAATAAAATAAAATATGCAGTACTTAATAGATTTTTTTTTTTCAGTTATTAATGGTGGAGAAAGAAAATTCCCATATCTGAACACGGACTGTTCCTCTAATTCGATCAATATGACGGGAAAATATAACAAATATATATATATATATTCTTTTTTTAATTCTTCGTCCGATATTCAAGGTTTTGCTCTGATTAATTTAGACTCGACCACCCGTGTCACACACTTGAAAATGATGAATGATGCTACTAGTGGGGCTGCTGCGTATACAAATTCTCAAAATCGAAATGTTATTTAAGCTGGACAATTTGATTACCACTTCATCCTACCCATATATTTTCTTATATTATTCATCTACGATTTCTCTTTCAATCTTCTACGGTATTTAACGATTTAATTGTCACTCTAATAATAACAGAGATGTGAAGCGATATAATAACAGAGCAAAAGAAGAAACAGAGCTACTGAGAGAAGAGAAAGAGAGGCAATGGATAGACTAAGAGGATGCATAGAAGAGCTTGTGAAGTTCACTCTGGAGTCTCACATTAACAGAGTCCTCGATTTCGATTTAGGGCTCTCCCAAGAATTCTGCTCTAATCTCCTCAAATATGATTCAGCTCATGTCAGTCTTGCAAACGCTGGTAAGAACGGGAAAATCTTGCATACTTGGTCAATTCAATTCCTTGTCAATAAAGGTTTTTTTTTTTTTTTGTCTGTTGGTTTTGTTGATGAAAGCTGAATTTAGGCAATTTAATGAACCATGGATGAAAAAGAGGATGAAATGATAAAAAAGAGAAAACCTTTATCAATTTGAAATTAGAATTAGGTGTTTGCTGCCAAGAAACTAAAGGAAACAGCATGTGCCATGCAAAAACTGAACCTAAATGATAATGGGTATTTGCAAATTAGAATATTAATTTGGAAATTTAATGAATTTATGTAAATCTTATGCTTAGATGCTGAAGATATTTTTGAAGGAGTCCCTCCATATCCTTTATACAAGCGTCTTGCATTGGCTTTGCATCATTCTTTAGTCTCTGGGGCCTTTTGTGGTAGGCAAAATAAGATGGTGCTGCCAACGGTTGAAGACATTTCCATGAAGCAGAAAGCAGAGTGGAATCAGTTGATTATGGACAAGGGACGTCAGTTAATAAACGTTAGTGGTATATGATCGGTTGGTGGCATTTTTTATTTTTTTGAAGTTGTTTTAGGTTATCACTAATACCTTTCTATCTTTTATAGATTATGGATAAGATAATCTTTGAACTTCATGTTCTGGAGCCCTTCTTCTCACATTTAAAAGGTAATTGTTATAGGCTACCAGTGCTTTTATTTTTTTTCTAAACCTTTATCAAAGGATTGGTTTTGGTTTTGGTTTCTCTCTGCTGTATAAAGGCAGATCCTCCTAAGTTAATTCACATTATCTGCAGATGGCTTGAAAACTGCTGAAGGGAGGTGTGCAATCCGTGAATACAGTAGGTATGGCTTGCATTTGCTTTTTGTTCAGTCTTTCTGCAAAATGAGGTTTTACACTACTTTTCCTTTTCCAGCTTTACTTATAGATTTTGTTTGTAGCAATTGCTTTCTGATCTGAAATCTACTAGTTTTTATGATCCGTTGTTATTTTGGAAAATATACATGGTACTTATGTATAATATGGATAGGCAGCTTCAAATACAATTGCTGTAAAAGCATAGAAATTAAATTGCAAACATCTCCCGGATGCTAATTAAAATGCAACTAGATTAGGGTAAAGTTGATATAGCTATACAATTGTTTATAATTTGCTTGTTTTCTTAGTTCTTATAATTGATATGTTATTTTTGTTTATGTATCTTTTCCCTTTAACTTCATTCTTCTTTTCCTTTTGATACTCAATATGTTTTATCTATTGCTTTATTAATCATTTATTTGTTTTAGTATTGAACCAGGTGCTGTAATTCTTTGTAACAAATGTCTGGTGCTTGAAGTGCAGGTGATCTACTGCTTATGCATCTCATTCCATTTTCATGTTTTCATTTGTGCATTAATTTTATTAATTTCAGAATGTTCGTCGCTATGCTTCATTTATGGAGATGTTAGAGGCTGAAGATATTGATAAAGTCCTTCCTGGAGTTAAAACTGTTGAAGAAGGTAATGACATTGCAGATTGACCAATTTATGTTTCTAACCTATAGTTTGCCATGAAATCTAACTCTTTGGATAAAGAGAAGCTGGATTTCTTCATAATGAAGTTCTTGGCTGACGAGTCTCAGTTGGGAAGAATGGAATGTAACTTTAGCTGCTGCACCCTAAATTTGGGAAGAGGCTTATACAACTATGCAATCGTTTTAGAGTGGACAGAGTGGTTGGCTGAGCAATATTGCCAGAAAAAGGGGATTCTTTCTAAGTACTGCTCAGTGGTTTACACAAGAATGGATGAAGAGTTGTGAGATCATAAGTTCATAAAACAGAAAGAACTGCTGCTTAGGATATTGGTCTCCATTAAGAATTCATTAATTTTCTTTTCAAAGCTTTGTTCTTAATTAACCCTAAAATATTTGCATTAAAATAACCCTTATGGAAGACTTGTTCAAAGCTTATAATTGTGGTTGCATCCTTGATTTTTTTTTTTTTTTTGATACTTTGCATTAAACCTTATGGAACACAGAAAGAACTGCTGCTTAGGATATTGGTCTCCATTAAGAATTCATTAATTTTCTTTTCTATGAAACTTACCAAAACTCAAGAATAAGCAAGGAACATTAACAAACTTAGATAATTCAACATGATAAGTAGAGGATGAAGCTAAAGTTTTGGTTTGCAATCCAAAAACTTGAGTTGCCTTTTCCTAGTTTCTACTATTTAATTATCATTATATTGTAGTTAATAATTTCCTTCCTTATATTTTACATAATCTCATTGTCATTGAAACTTCTATGTGTACATGTTCTCCCTTGAGAATGAGTGATTTCCTGGATTATCTGGATGTCTAGATTGCAGCTTTGTTCTTAGTTAGCCCTAAAATATTTGCATTAACCCTTATGGAAGACTTTTTAAAAGCTTATGAGTGTGGTTGCTTCCTTGATTTGTTTTTTGAATGTCATTTGAACATTGTAATTGCAATGGGTTCATGACTTTCCTTCGCAGGTTTACAAATGTATAGGAAATTTTATACAGAGGAAGAAGAAAGGTCAAAGCGTGTCCTTGCCATCTGTGTTTCTAAACTGGGAGCTCAACCATTCATTTTATTAGCTAGCATTCTGTCTGTGAGTCGCTTGCTTAACAGAGGACTATTTGCTGTAGATATTGTCTTGATTAATTTCATAATCCTCACATTGTATGAGCGTCTCTAGTCTGTTCTTACAAGTTTGATATGGTTTCTTTCATGTTTTTGAGTTTCAAAATACTTAAATTCTGATGCAGTTCCAAATAAGGAATCTTAACTTCTATGGAATACTGAGTATGTGAATATAATGTCTAACATAAAGTATATAGGACTGTGATCTGATCAGTTTAGTCATAGTCACAGAAAGGAGCCCATTGGATATCCAAAATTCAAACTACTGCTCAATCCCAAGGAGTAAAATAGAAGAAGGCAATTGGAAAAACAAAATAAATCTATTGATAGTTGACAAACTTATATTACTTGTATAAGATACTTCCCAGTTCAGTAGAACAATGATTTATGATCTGTAACTCTGTTTATGCATGAAAGTATTTATATCACTGTAACTACAACTTCTGGTTGGACCTTACTTATATTTACAAGTTAACAGTTTCTGGACTTACAGTTTATCACTTGTTTGAAAAATGCAATCAGAACTTATTAGAGGTTCCAAGAAGGAAAAGGATTTCAAAATTGAACATGGTTGAACATGAAGTAATATTGTTTGGAATGTGATCTTAAATCCATACTTATGGTGAATGGGAAATATTTTTTTCTAGTTTTATTGGTTATATTGTTCTTTCTGTGTATGTAATATTTTGACTGTTTGATTTTAATCCAGGGACTGAATTATGGGGGTGTTCAAAGCCTCCTTGGTCTTGCACACACTACTGGGACAATTTCAGATGCACTTCCCCCACCAAAGTCAACTCTTCTCTCATCATTTATGTTGCCATACAACCCTAATGTAAGAAAAAGTTTGTTGATTGCTTCTGGGCTTTCTATTTGCTGAGAAGGCTTTTATTTCCGCCTTTTATATTTCAGTTGGTTTCAAATGATCTCATTTTTCAATTGAACTTGTTCTAAGTTCTTTGGCCAAAAAACTTGCTTGAATTGGCTTAAATGGTTTTTGGCTACTGTAAAACGAAGGAATCTAAAGGCTGAGGATGTTGGTTGAGGAGCAGGTGTGCCTCTGGTGATAATGCAAATGAATATATTCAGGAATTCAACTGAGAAAGAGCTATTTTTCAGTTTTCCTGCCAATCATGTAACCAACTTTGTATTTTTGTAAATGGATATTGGCAAGTGGATGCTATTTTTCTAATGAGACCTTGGGACATGGATGCTCTGCTTGTTTTATAGCTTAAGAGAATGTGTGTGTTTTGTAGTCTTTTTACCTTTTTAATTTATTTATGACCCATATCTTGATTGTCAAGTTCATCAAGAAACAACTTTTATTTTTTCCAGTTTCTACCTGATAGCATGTTTTTCAAAGTTTCTTTTTTCTAATATAGTTTTACTTTGTTCTTTTTAATCTTCTTTTGGCCTTCAGGTCAAAGGCAGTACCTTGACTGTTGGAGCTAGGGCCTTAGCAAAGCATGCTGATCGCAGTAGCAACAGACACTGGGGTGTTTTAAAAGGAAGTGGTGAGAACCTTTGTGGCCTTGTTTCTCACTACTTGGCAATGTTAATGTATGGTTATGGGACTTAATTTAACCATCAAAGTTGCTAGACCACTGTTATCATATTTAATTATTTTAGGCTGCACATTTAGGGGTGATAAGTAGTTTTGAGGAGACTTGTTTGTGCATATGGATGTTATGGAATAAGAAAAGACATCCATAAAACTTACAAACTCTTGTCTCAACTTTGTTCTTGTGCTAAATCTGCCATCTGGATTCGCTACACACAGTCTTAAACAGATTTTAGATGATTTTTATTTTAAATATTTTGCAACCATATATTTGTATTATTTTTGTAATCAGTGCTCTTCTTGACTTAGATATTATTGTGTCCTTTCATTTAATCAACAAAAAATTTGCTCAATGGGAAGTAGGAGCTGACATCAAACCATTCTTTGTGTGTGATTTCCCTGCATTCTTGTTCCAAAGATTAACCCTCATATTATGTTTTTAGAAAATTTTACCTGCAACAACTAGTTATATATATGCCTGCATTATTTGTTTAATATTTCTGACCATTAATTAGTAGTTTTCCTGCTTAACTTGTCCAGATTCAAGTAAAAATAAACATGCAGTTGATATCATTTCTGATTTGATAGCTCATTCTTGCTGGTTGAATGTGCATGTTGATCAACCTCATGGGGCTGTCTTTGAGATAAGGAAAGCCCAGGGTTATGGTGCACGATGGTCTAACCATGGAACTAAGGTACAGATTACTCATAGAAGCATGCTGGTAATTTTTTTTTATCTATTTAAAGATATGTTCAGTGCATGTGAAATTATTCATATGTAGAAATGAGATGAGATTGGGCTTATTGAAGTCTTAATTTCATTTAGGTAATCGGGGCTAAAGTACGTTTTTTCGCAGGAATTTACACACATTGAGTCTTGAACTTGGATATAGGACTAGCTATAATTAATTGCTTTTTGTTAAACTGCTTGGGTTAAAGCTGATTGATCACATAAATGGAAGTCCCAGCACTGGTGACTCTCTCTAAGAAGTCAGACCATTGGTTGTTTACGAGAAAGACTAGATATGTGAATCCTAATTTGGATGGGTACTACCAAGCCTTCATCTCTCTGTTTTTACCCTTTTAATTGCACTCATAACCCAAACCTCACTGGTAGACTAACCAATGAATGCTCGTGTTACTTTCATTTATTAATAAGATGAAGAAGAAGAAGAAGAAGAAATGGGAGGACGAAGAAGAGGAAATGAAGCCACAATTTCAAATGTATTGCATTTTTTTTTTCACAAAAAATAACATTTATATCTCATTACTTCCTAATCGCTTTACAGCTTCAGGCTTCTGCATCTTGCCATGTAAAAAGCACTAGAGTTCTTAAAAGTTTCTAACTTTTTTCTGAACCTCCACTGAATGTAAAAGTGTCTTTAACATGCTCACTGAAACACTTTAAGATTTTCACTTCCAGAAAAGATATTTTAATGGTCACAGCTAAAACTTCAAATTTTTCCTATGTGAGATTTTTTGTTGTTTCAGTTCATTGGATTTCTTGAGCCATACATGGATGATGGTCATTCAAAGGGATGGAAGCATTAAATTGAATGCAGCTATTCTGCTGTTCTCTGGTCTCCAGAATCTCTAAGGCTCCCCTCCTTGTGCTACCAGTTTGTGAAGCTTTAGACTCTTAGAAATTTACATGCATCCTTATCTCATGCCATTCCACCTCATCACATTGAATCACAATGTCCTCATAAGTTTGCATCATTGTACTTTTTCCTTTCTTCTTATAAAATGAAATTGAAATGAGTAATGATGTACAGAGTAGTAGTCAGTATTAGCAATTTTTACAGTTCTGTGCTATGTCCTTCCATTTTGTTTCCCCCCCTTCCAATAACAACTTGATGCTGCCAACTGGGAATTCACTCTGTTTGATTTCTGTATCAGGTCAACTCTGACAAGCATGGTATGGCAAAGTAAAGCAGAAAAGTAGGAAAATAATTTTTGTGGTTTCACCTATGGCAGGAATTTGGTACTGAAATGCTTTCAGGTAAAGACACCTGACTGAGATGCTGCCAAGCTAGAAAGACAGAGCTGAAAAACTGGGGTTCTGTGATTGGTACAATCTCCTTTGTTTTGATATGTATGGAGTGAAGATGTTATGGAGTCTTTAAAAGAATGGAGTTGCCAATGCGTGACACTTGGCAATGGATCCAATCCATGGGGTTTTATTTCTCTTCGTATTGAAATGAACGTTTTTCATTTCCTTTCCTTTCCCTCATTTTCCTCAATCCAAACATGATGTAAATTCAAAGGGAATTTCAGGTCTTCATTTTCTTGCTTTCTTTTATTTCTTTGCTCATTATTGCTTCTTCTTGAAACACCTAAATTAGTTGGACTTTAGGCATCACTAGGTATTACCTTTTGGTTTTAGCTCCTTGTTTTCTTCTTTTTAGTGCTTCTCTTTGTACACTTGTCACAGGATAGTAGCCATTCAGTGATATCTCCTTTTTCCTATTGAATATTAAACAGATCAATACTGTTACAGATTGATTCTGTTCAAAGAAAGGCATAAAAAGTCACAACTGCCTTTTGCAGGTTGAGGTGGATGATCCATGAGCTAAGCTGATACAAAGATTGCTGGTAGAAGATGCGATTAGGCAATTTTATGCAAGAAAGTGGGAAGGACATAATTTTATCAAGAGCTCATGACTGCTATCACTTTCTGAAAATTTTAAAATACTCCACATCCACACTCATGCAAAGGTGTGAACTCAGCAAGGTGATATACTCATGAAACAAATGAGAGAAATGATTATGAGCAAAAAGAAACAATAGACCATAAACTTTGCACTTTGCAGCTGATTCAATGGATATGGATCATTGATGGCAATGAATGATGCCCATGTATATGTATTTGTTAGCCACTTCATACCAACAGTTTTCATCTGGATTTCTTAGTGACCGGATTGCATCAAAATGCTTCCTCAGGTGGAAAAAATAGGTGCTGATCATGGTAAGCAAGTTGATTCTCTGGACCCATTCTTTAAAGCAATATCTGAATGAGCCATCACCATCAATTTGCCTACATTAACATTTAGTGCATGTTATTATCTTGAGGACAAGTTAGGATTTTTGCATCTTATTCATGCACAAGCTCCTGTGCCACATGATTTTGTCCAGTTCAGTTAATTATTGACACCATTAATACTTAAACACCCACCCTTTGGCTTTGTCATTTAGCTGCCTATGTTTTTTTGTTAACCAAGCAGAGCATTACCATATGAAGTAGTGTCAGCTGACTCTGAATCCTTTTAACACTCAGTTTTTTTAGAATCATTCATTATAGCTTTTGCATTTCATGGCAATAATTTTACTATTCTTGCTACATTCAATCATGTGTTGGTACCTTAATCATGAAAACACTAATACTTGTCAAATTTGTGTCTTATGTCCACAAATCTATAGAATATTTTAGATTTCATTGTTTAGAATTCAGTGAGCAATCAAGTAGTGGGTATCAACACTTTCTGCCAACCCTAATGGTCATCTCAATACCAGTGATATTCATAATGTCTAAGCCAGTGGTACCTTTTAGTGACTTTTTTTTCATTGGTTTGGATTATTTTCTATGCTGGGGCAGAAGCCAATTTCACCACACATACCACATGTCCACTTTTCCCGTAGTTCTTTGTTGCTGACTTGCTGTTTTTATTTCCCTGTTCTACCAACCGTTTTATGGTTTTAAATGTATTTCTTCTCTGAATTCTTCTCCAGAGATATCGAAGATTCCATGCGAGAACATTGCTGCCTCATGTCATGCCATAATTTCATTTAAGATGTGTTTTAAGCTTGTGGAGGGATGTAACATCAGTTCCCTAAAGTTGTACCTTTGTTTCTACTTTTCATAGAAACATGTCATGTGGCTATAAGATTTCTCGTTCCACCTCCTCCCTCTTGGGTTCATCAGATCTTCGATTGACTCATAACCCACCTAAAACTCCGTATCCATTTGACTTTGGATTTTTTCTGTTGTTTTTTTGTTTTGATGCAACGGTGACTCCATGGTATTTCTTTGTTAACTTATCCTGAAGTTGTGTTGTATTGAAAACATTATTTTTCTTTTCAATTGACCCAATTGTCTTATCATCTTATTAGCCAAGGTTCATTTCTTGCGAAAGGTCAGGGGAGAAAGGCCATCTTGTATATTTTCTCTTCCTGCATTTCCTGACATGAATTTATGATTCAGGATACATTTGAACGATGCATCTCTTCACTATTTTCTGATTCATGATGTCAAACTCATTCTTTAACGGCACATCTAACTATTTTTAATTTTTGTACGTAGATTGAATATGCTACATGAACAATCTTATCTTATAAAGGAGCCTCACAAACCTAGCTGGTAGATATGATTAATTCTTTTCAAACACCAGGTTAATTCGGGTTGTATACAACCTGTTCAACGCTATGTGGCTATAGATGCATAAACTTTTATATATTATTAAAAATTCCTTAGCACATGACTTCTTACAGGTTCAGAAGAAAAAACAAAAGAAACAGGGAAAGGAAAAAGGAGTTTTATCAAGACTGAAAGCCTTGCCATCTTTTAGGTGTGCTTTCGAATCCTGGAATAACACTTTCCAGCATCTTATTGATATTGTGAAGTAGAGATGCCAAAGTGCATGTGTGCACCTTTCGGTGTCGTCAGGTAGCACTTTTAGCAGGGAAAAGCATAACCTCCTCAGTAGACACTTTATTAAACACTAGACCTTCACCCTGTTCTTCTTTTCATGTTTCCATGGCAAAATGTTAAAAGTTGCATCTAGTATCACCTTTCAACTTAGCTACTCATGTCAATTTCTAAATGAACCGAGCTTGAACTCAACTCTCTAAGCTCAATTGGTAAAAGAGTCGAACTTGAGTGTATCAAAACTAAACGAGCCGAGTTTAAACAAGTACAATTCTAGAGAATTCATTAAAATATCAACCACAACATAAATTTCCCTCTAAAGACTCGTTAATTAATCAAAACCTGTGATTGAAGACAAACACAAAAGCAGACAAGGTGGGCTGCAAAGATGAAGGAGTATATGACTTGGAAACGACTTCTTCTCCAATGATTGGATGGGCAAAAACAGCAACTTCGACCTTGTCTTCTTGTCTAATCATTACCTAAGGAATAATAATCACTTTGGTACCATTAATTTAATTTTGGTCTAGTTCTTCTTCCCTCTTTCCCAATACTTATAGATCCTAAATAAGATTTAAGTATTCATCAACCTCCTACCATGGATTATTAGAGGCATGCATGCAGCCAAACAAACAAATGATTTTGTTTGTTAATTATATTTACCATGTGCTTTCGAATTAAATAATTACAGAATATCTTTAACTTTCAACTATTTGAATTATATTAGTTGTAAATAAATATATAATACGACACTATTTAATTTGATACGTGTAGTGAATGAAAAAATGTTTGTGATGTAGCGAGGACAAAAATGAAATGATGTTGGATTCGCAAATTTTATTCTTATATATATTTTTTAATTTTATGATAAGAATCGACAATAAGATTGCAACTGGGTATGCAATAATATAAGTCTAACTAATAGAAATTAAATCATTAATCTGAGGAGGACTGAAATTGACATGAAAATGCCATGAACTTAGAACAAAACTGTCATCTGCATTAATATTTTTAATTAGACTGGTGAAAGTGATTACTGCAGAGGACTGCACTGGAAAATTAGCTCTACGACTGCTGACAAACATGTGGCTAATTTATGGACAAATGTCAACGGAGGTCCCTCAACTTTGGGTTGCTTTCACCATCATACCTTTATGTTTTGAAGTTGAGTCGTTGAGGACGAAAAGGAAAGGAACTCCAAGTTAAAGGGGGCATTCTGTACGTTATCCTAATTAAGCAGTAGCAGTCTAACAAGCTACTACTTTCCATTTTGGAGTTCACTAGCCGAATATAATTTTTGGTACAACTAGGAGAATATAATTAAACATTGCGCATCAAATGATGTAAGAAACAATGACATAATTACCACAAAAAACAACAAACTAATCACAAAATTATTCTTTTTTGTTTGGATAGGGAGGGTATTCCTAAATTAATTTTGTGTACTTTAAGATTAATTTATCTCTTAATGATCTTAAGTGTGCACCTCTATAGTAACTAGATGCATTTAAAGAAAATAATTTCGTTGGATATAATTGATTTTAAGTTTTGAGTCTGACATATATAATAATATTTATTTATCAATAAATCTAATTATAACAGTTCAAAATTAGCTTTTTTTTGTAGTAATAACTAATAAAGTTGGGGAATTAAACAAGTTAAACTGGGTATAATGATCCCACTAGACCGACGATAATCTTGTCTATATCAAGGACTATAGCCCGTATCATCATCTCCTTGTTTTTATTAACTCAAGAAAATATGTTGTTTGTTGGGTTTCTTTTAGAATTATGCAGTCGCTCTTGAAAAAATTGAGATTCCATGCATAGACGATATACATTAATTATAATTATATTAAGTAATGTTTATGGGAATAAATGTTTTATTCTCTTCCCCATCCTTCCATATACCAAGAACACTTCATATGACATCAACTAGACGCAATGTATACATCTAAAACCTTGTGCCGGGTTCCTCGTTGTTAAATCAACTTAATTTTGAATTAATTTATTTTCAACGAACCTTTTTATTTTTATTTTTTGTGCATGAAAGTTATTTTAAAAAAAAGATTATAAAAAAGTAAATTTTATAAAATTTTTAACGTAATATCAGTCATAGATTGAAAAGGCAAATTTAAAGCACAATTTGATCAAAGTTGATGAAGTTATTATCCCTATAGATTGTCTTATAATTAAAAAAAAAGTAACTTCAAATAATATATTAAGTACTAGCATTGACATTGACCCCCAATATAATAAATTGGACATTCTGAACCAGAGTTTTGTGCTTGGCCATTTCTGAGCTCAATGAAATTCAGTTCTCAGTTAAATTCCTGAGAATATCATCAGGAACAAAAAGGGGTTCTATCCTTCCTCCCCCAATTCTCACGGATACATCTCTCTTCACTCCTAACCGATCCGCTGCCGCCGCTGCCACACACTTCTTCCTCCTCTGACCAGCCGAGAAATGGTACTGATGATCAGGTAGCAGCAGCAGCAGCAGCAGCAGCCAGCAGACATGCAAAGCCCCAACAACAACCACCACCAGCAAGCACAGAACAGCAGCCACACATCAACCACCCGCTCCTCTGATTCCGGTGAGCCCTCCGCACCCAACAACAAATGGGCCTCCACGCTTCTAAAAGAATGTGCCAAAGCCATCTCCGACAAGGACTCCACCAAAATCCACCACCTTCTATGGATGTTAAACGAGCTGGCATCCCCGTACGGCGACTGCGACCAGAAATTAGCCTCTTATTTCCTCCAAGCCCTCTTCTGTAAAGCCACCGAGTCGGGGCAAAGGTGCTACAAAACCCTAACTTCGGTGGCAGAGAAGAGTAACTCATTTGATTCCGCCAGAAAATTGATTCTCAAGTTCCAGGAGGTCAGTCCATGGACCACTTTTGGTCACGTCGCTGCAAATGGTGCAATCCTAGAGGCCCTAGACGGCGAAAAAAATCTTCACATCATTGATATAAGCAACACTCTTTGCACTCAATGGCCGACCTTGCTAGAATCTCTGGCCACCAGAACCGACGAAACCCCTCACCTGAAACTCACCGTGGTTGTGACGGCCAGTACTGTAAAATCCGTCATTAAGGAAATTGGTCAAAGAATGGAGAAGTTCGCTAGGCTAATGGGTGTGCCTTTTGAGTTTCATGTAAGAAGTGACTACTTAGGTGAACTGACTAAGGAAAAACTCTGTGTTTCCGAAGATGAAGCTATTGCAATAAATTGTATTGGCGCCTTAAGAAGAGTTGCAGTCGAGGAAAGGTCCTCCGTGATTGAGTTATTCCGCTCTCTCAATCCAAAGGTTGTGACTATTGTAGAAGAAGAAGCTGATTTTTCCAGCAACAGAGATGATTTCGTCAAGTGTTTCGAAGAGTGTCTCAGATTTTACACGTTGTACTTCGAGATGTTAGAGGAGAGTTTTATGCCGACAAGTAATGAAAGGTTAATGCTTGAACGGGAGTGCTCAAGAAGTATTGTTAGGGTTTTGGCATGTGAGCTTGAAGAAAACATTGAAGGAGAGTGTGCAGAGAGAAGGGAGAAAGGAAGCCAATGGTCGGAGAGGATGAAGGCAGCGTTTTCTCCGGTGGGGTTCAGCGATGACGTGGTGGACGATGTGAAGGCGTTGCTGAAGAGGTATAGAGCCGGGTGGGGGCTAATGCAGGGAGATGGTCATGAGGATCAAACAGGACTTTATTTGACATGGAAAGAGGAAGCAGTGGTGTGGGCATCAGCATGGAAATGAAGAACCCTAGAGAAATTGGGCAAAAGGGGTTAAGATTTTTAGCATTGAATTTTATGCCCAAAGGATGAAAAGAAGATGAAGCAATATATAGTCATGGAGGTTTAGTTTTCATGCACGGCTTTGGATTTGCTCTTATGTCCACTTTTCTTGTGCTTTTTTATGCTTTGGAGTTTGTGTTGCTTCTTTTCTGCTTTAGCAGATTATAACATATATTCTTGTTTGAAGGTGTAATTGCATATGGAATAGAGGTGTGCTTCTGTCAACTCTCTGTGACATACCCATTTTCCAATTTGGATTTGCTTGTTCAATCTCTTTCTCTTCATCATTGATTCGATCCCTTACTTTCCGATTAGAATTCTAACCAATTAAGAAAGGAATTAAAACCAAAGAGATTGCATCTTCCATCAAGAAAAATGGTTTTTTGTGATATAGGTATATATAGATAGTGTACTCTTCATGATGAAGAGGTTTTCTATTGTTTCATATCCAAAAAGGTAAAAACAAGGAGGTTTTCAACTTTTCTTCAAATTAATAACCATGCATGCAATAGTACTCATTTCAAGCACCCTAACCAAAAAAAGCACTAATACCCTCTACCACGTCGGGTAAGTGCAATTTGCACTCAAATTAATATATGGAGAAAATAATAAACTCTGGAAATCAATATTGGGATGAAACACTAGAAAACTTTTCACATCCGGCCAGAAGCCATGCATGTTTCATCAGATTAATTGAAATTGCACTAAATCATGTTCTTTTTGCTTTTAATCTTTTTGATTGACTTTTGCTTTTAATTTTATTATATTATTATATATATCAATAAAAAAAATTATCACACATTTGTGTTATTTTTTATATGTATGTATATGTTTATAAGATAGCATATATCAACGATATGCTTGCTATTATTGCGATTGATATTCCGATTAAGCTTTTCAAAAAGGAAAAGAAAAATAAAGGAATACAATCAAGGAGAAGAGGAGGGATCCGGAAAACCGGAGAGGGGGGGCAAGAAGAGACCTTGGTGGCAAGCAAAAGGGTACCGACTATAACCCCCAATTGCCTTTCTGTCCACCGATTTGAATAGCATATATTTGCCCTCATGTGCTTACCATACTCTTCCCATGCACTCCCTTTACTCCAACATTTTCTAGTGGAAAACAACTTTTTCAACACTCAGATAAAGACCCAGTTCACTCATTATTTTTCCATCATTCTCCCAATCATTGAATTTTTCCCACCATCATCTCTTACGCACGCTTACTCGATCCTGAGTTTATATATATTTATATGTTAATTAAGTATTACTCTCTCTAGTCTTTTTAGTTAGTTGTCATGGTAATTACTAAAAAAAAAAAGGGGGTCTACATTGGTTGTCATCTTCTAGTATTATGTTCATGGAAGAGAATATACATTAAAGGCCTTTATTCCAATTCTAGCACTGAAATTATGAAGTTCCCATTAAATAAGTTTTAGGCTGATAAAATGGATTAATGGTAAAGAGTTCTTAGTTTTGCAATTTGAACTGCAAAACAAAAATTATTAAATGAGATGATAATTCTTAATATTAAAAGATATATCTCTTTTTTAATAATTTAAATTATATAATTTAATACAGTTTACACTCTATAATACTTCTTTTTTTAAAAGTAAATATGGAAATAATCTCAGTTAGTTTCGAGGCTTCATGTCATTTATAGGCTCCCACATTTTAATGTTTCGACCCAAGATCTATTAATATCAAAATTAAACCCAACCCAATGAGCAGGCTCTTGCGAGCCCAAAATATAATTATAACATTAGGCTTATCAGTGAGCCCACAGATATTAATGGGCGGCTCAGATCTTTTCTCACAGATGTACATATATTTATATATGGTGAAGGAGAAACAGAGCTAGGGTTTGCAGGCGCCTCTGAGCGAAGAAAGCAGTCAAAGGACCTCAGCCGAAAATGGTGAGAGCCATTCATCCTCATTCGTTATTCTCTTTTTACGTCCTATGATGTGTTGATTTTCCTTAGTGCATATCTCTTCTATCTTAATTGTTGATTGTTTTCGCGTTTCTCGTTTTATTGATGCTTGGATCTTTACTTTTGGTTAGGGTTGTGCTTTGTTTTCCTGTTTTTAACCTCGCTCTAGCATTTCTTACCGTTTGAATGGAGATTCAGTTGGCGTAGTTGCAGTTAATTCAGGAATAAGAACTAGAGTTGCGAGTAATTGTGGTTTACCTTGCGGATGTGTTTCCAATTCCATTCATTTTCCGCTATTGAGATAGTACCTTTTCTAGTTTTGCAATCCAATAGCTTTTGGACCGGCCTGATATGGGCGGAGGATTTTTGCATTTGTTTTTAATGACGATTGCATGCTAAGAACATGTATGGGTTAGCTTGGAAGAGCTTTTACTTTTTTTGTATTGTTCATGAGTGATAAGTTTAAATTTTTATTAGAGGAAAAATTTAAAAGTTGCATTTAGAGATAAGAAAAAGCGAGTAAAAAGGGAGTTTATGAAAAGTTTGGATTTGAAGCTTTTGAATTTTTATTGTTTGAGGTCTTTTTAAGGTTAAAAAAAGTTTTAAAACGTAAGTTTTTAAGAAGAAAATTTAAACTTACGAAATATAAATAGTGTCAAAAAGTTGAAGCACTTGGAAGCTGAACCAAACATGCTGTAAATCATATTTAAGGCAATACTGTCTACAATTCTACGTTGTAGAGTGAAAATGCATTTTATGGTATCTTAGAAGTTGAAATAGTTGATTGTTTTATCCGCTGTATGTCCTTCAGTCATGTATGTTTTGGTTTATGCTTTACTTAAAATTTCTGGGCTGTCTTTTATGGTTTATGTTGTAATGCACAGCCTAAGCAAATCCACGAGATCAAGGACTTCCTTCTCACTGCCAGAAGGAAAGATGCACGCTCTGTGAAAATTAAGAAGAGCAGAGATGTGGTCAAGTTCAAGGTTCGCTGCTCCAAGTACCTTTACACTCTCTGTGTCTTCGACTCAGAGAAGGCCGATAAGTTGAAGCAGTCTCTCCCACCAGGTATAAAATTGTCGTGCTTCATGTATACCTCTTTTTCTTATATTTAATCATTACCAAGATTCGCACTTGCCTCTGATTAACACATGCAATAGGATGTAATGTAATGTAATGATTGTAGAAATGGGAATGATCATTTGTAGTTTAACATTTGCGTTTCTCATTGATATTTCTTTTAAACTAAGTGCTGATAACATTCTGGTTTCGTTTCATGTCTACAGGTTTGAACGTTCAAGACCTGCGAAAGTAGAGGACCAGACCATCCCCGAGCTTGTCAGCAGATTTCTAGGCGATAAATTCTAGAGTTTATTTTGTGCAATTTTGCAGTTATTAAAATGTTATGTATTGGATCTTGGTTCGCTACTTAAGCCTTCATTGTGTTTTGACGTTCCGGGTTTAACAGTTAACGATTGTTATTATGGTTTATTTCTGCTATTGCCTCTTACCATATAGATCGAGATGTCTTGGCAATGTTCCTGCGTATAACAATTTTGCATGATAATTTATACAAGAAACTGTTGGATGGTCTGGACTGCATAGCACATATCATTGGATGGGTGGGTTTCTTAATGTTTGGCTCTGCAATTCAGTAATTCTTACTTTGTAATTGGGGGTATTCAAATTGCAAAACAAATAAGTCTACCATATAAGAAGAAGAAAGTGTAACTAATAAAATATCATTATTATATAAATCTTCATGATCTTTACAGTTATCTTTGGTGTAGAAAAATTTATTTATATATAAATTTTATATATTACATCTATATAAAATTTTAATTAATATTTTTTAATTTTATCTATAAATTAAGAACTTTAGAATAATTTTTATTTTACCTATTTTATCCTTAAAAATAAAAAATAAATGATTAAAATTTTATATAAATATAATGTATAAAATTTATATATAAAATTATAAATAAATTTTTATGTATTTTTTACATATTTTTATCATATAATACTTATTTTTTGATTGGCTTAGAATCAATTAATATTACAAATGCATTTAAAAAAAAAAACTAACAAAACAAATGTAGTAATAATAGTGCAAATATTGGGCATGAATAAGTTTTTTTTTTTTAAATTGGGGATGTATAATTGAATTGCTGCTTGCTAGTACAAAGTACAGTATGCCAGTGCCAATCCCACTGCCACCAACTGTCAAAATAAAGAATAAATTATTTCACGTGTTTATCTAATTTACAAAGCCAGCTGTTTTTTTTTAAAAAAAAAAAAAATGCCAGCAGCATTTTCTTGGCGACCCAAAAAAGGAAAAAAGAAAAAATGGGTAAAAGTAAAAGTAAATCATCGTCTTCCCCATTTGTTAGGGTTTCGCCACGTTGAAATGCAGAGGACATAGAACACAGAGAACATTGCTCCCATTTACTCCCAGGTATGTTCTTCTTCTACTGCGAATTTACTAGTAATCTCCCAAGTTTCTTAGCCACCGTAATTCCATGGTCGTATCTGGTAGAGTAATTGATGTTTCTGAAGTTGAAGCCGGATGCCATAATTTACAATCATACATCTTCCCTTACTTTGGATTCTCCTTTTAATCACTATATAGTTGATATGGTTTGAAAGATAAATTTGTTAGATAGCATTTTCCAGCTTACGCTGAGCAAGAAATAATTTTCAAGTCTAGATTTAGCTGTTGACAATTTTCCTGCTTATTATTTCTCTTATACTGATGGGATTTCCTTTTTTTTTTTTTTTTTTTTCATTCTTAGATGAATTTAAGTTGGGGTATTAGCAGATTCCGGGAGTAATTGGGACTTGTGTGTTCCTTGGAAGTAGAATTAAATCTGGGTTGTCTGAAAATGGCCGGGATTGGGAATCCATTAGTCAAGGTCTCATCATGTCCAACCATGTCATCTTCAACTTTGACTACCCTCCCGCATTCTTCAACTTTCTTGCCATATCTTCCACCAAAGTCAAGAACACGGTACACAAAGGTAAAAGCTATGTCAACTGATACAGGACGCAGCCAACTGCCACCTTCTTCAGAAAAGAGGAATCCACTTGATGTTGTTTTGGATGTTCCTCGGAATATTTGGAGGCAAACATTACGTCCATTGAATGATTTTGGGTTTGGTAGAAGAAGCATTTGGGAAGGTGGGGTGGGGTTGTTTCTTGTGTCTGGTGCGGTGCTTCTTGCTCTTTGTGTGGCGTGGTTGAGGGGGTTTCAGATGCGTTCTAAGTTCAGGAAGTATCTGGCAGTGTTTGAATTTGCTCAGGCCTCTGGTATTTGCACTGGAACACCAGTAAGGATTAGAGGCGTGACTGTTGGTAATGTTGTCCGTGTTAATCCCTCCTTGAAAAGTATTGAAGCGGTTGTTGAGGTGCATTTCGCTCTTAAGAGCTATGATATTGTTATGAACTTACATTTCAATTATGTTCACCTTTATTGTCTGCACTCAAATGCAATTTATTTTTTTACTTCATAGGTTGAAGATGATAAGATAATTATACCTCAAAATTCACTAGTTGAAGTGAACCAGTCTGGTCTTTTGATGGAAACTTTGATTGACATTACACCTCGGAATCCAATTCCAACTCCTTCAGTGGGGCCTTTGGATGCAGATTGCGTTAAGGAAGGTCTAATTGTATGTGATAGGCAAAAGATAAAGGGGCAGCAAGGAGTAAGTTTGGACGCATTGGTGGGTATATTCACCCGTATTGCATATCAAATGGATGAAATTGGTATAGCCAACACTTACTCTCTTGCTGAACGAGTTTCTGCTGTTATTCAGGAGGCAAAGCCTCTACTTTTAAAGGTCTGACCTGCCCTTCTGCCAATTTTTATGTTTGCTTGATAAGAATCCATCATTGAAATCTCAGTTAACCTTTGAAAGATTGAACCCATTTAATTGGGATTAGCTTGAAAATCCCTCCTAGGATTACCACATGGAATTACCAGGTCAGAGTCATATGTCATGTTTCATAGAACTAGCAAAAACTTTCTCAAAGTATTATTGATGAGATCACTGAATTGAATCTTGACTCTAAAGGATTTTTGTGAGACAGTTTTTTCTGCCGATAATCAGTGGCGTATTAACCCTAGTTCATCACCCTTTTGTGAGTAACTCTGTATTTTAAACATTTTGATCTTTGCATTCTGTCTAGTGGCATTTCAGATGGAAGCCATGGCTGAAGATGTTCAACCTTTGTTAGCTGAGGCTCATGACAGTGGTCTGCTTAAGGAAGTAGAAAATTTAACCCGAAGCCTAACACAAGCCTCAGAGGATTTGAGGTGAATTGCTCTTTTTCTTTTGCTTATCAATTTATTCAAACCTGGTTCCAAGTCTTGTTAGCTTTAACACTGTCTTGCTTTTAAAGATGAACTCAAATTTTCCCAACTAGGCTCAAGTCTAGTTTCTGCAAATCCTCAAATATGAAAATCTTCTGCATAGGTTTGATTTTTAGCTGGACTTGGGCATTGAGACATTCTCAAACCTTTTTCTTCTAGTTTGGCCTATCAAGTGACATTGAATTTCAGAAAATGACCTCATGCTGAAGATTTGACAGGTTAACAATCTGGCCATTTTATGAGCCAAAGTCCTTTGAACCTCTTAGGTCTAGCTATCCACTCTCAATAAGTCAGACTGAGGTTGTGACTATTATGTACACTATCTATTAGGCTCATTCCTTTTTTCATTTCATGACCTTTTCTCATGTTCATAGACTTGTAACAGTTAATGAATTTATTTTTTTTTCATGCAGAAGGGCACATTCGTCTGTTATGACCCCTGAGAACACTGAATTGATTCAAAAATCAATCTATACCCTAATTTTCACTTTGAAGAATATCGAGGTAGGATTCTAAATACAAGGTTGTAACATTACTTGTATTACTTCTAAAGAAGTAATCAATAATTAAGTTCGCTTGATTTGTATCGTATTTGCCCCATCCCCTTGTCCAGAATATAAGCTCGGATGTGTTGGGATTCACCGGTGATGAGGCTACTAGACGGAATCTTAAATTGCTTATCAAGTCTCTCAGCAGGCTATTATGAAGACAAAGGAAAAGGTCAGAGCAAGTGATGAGGCAGTTGATCAGTTTTTGTTTCATATTGTTTAGGTGGCAGAAACTCAAATGTGGCTTCTCGGTGAGCATTCTCTATTTCTCATTGCAATTACTGGAAACTCTTGACACTTATTGCAGCATTCATTTCAGAGATGGAAATGTCAAGATTAAATTTTTTCGAATTTTAGTACTATGTTCTACTACGAACTGCAATGGCCAAAAAAAAAATATATATATTTGTCTTTAAATTCAAGCTGAAAGCATTCTCAATGCAATTTGAATGCATGGATCTTGAATTATTTTGCCTTGAAACTTTTCTTTGTTAAGATATTTAATTTTCGATCTGATTTGGCAAAAGCGCTCTGCATTAAGGGAAAAAAAAAGAAGTTAAAAAATTTTAGATGTAAGCAAATGGCTTAAGATTGAAGGCTTTGTTTTTGAATCTTAAAGCCAAGACAATCACTTTAATTTTCTTTCTTTTTTTGGAGAAAACAATCACTTTAATTTTTGGTTCTTGAGAATATGAGATAAAGAAAAATTAAAATTAAAACATTCTAACATTTAAAATGTTAGAGTCGTTTACGACATTATTTAAATATTATAATGAATCTTTTTTTATGTATTAATTTATTAAAAGTACGAGTCTTTTTATTATTATTTTTTAACATTTTAATTATCAAAATATACTCTCTTTTTCTTTCAATTCTACTGAAAATATAAGATAATAATTTTGTTTGGATCCAGCTCCTTTTTTTAGAAAATTATATGGGTTAGCGACCACCTTTATTTTCATTTTAATAGGAAAACATATTAACTTCTGGTGAAAAATTTTCAGTATGGTCCTTGAGGAATAAATTGGCAACTATTGTGAGAAAAATAGAGTTGGTTTGGTGGTAGTTGAGTCCTTCCTGTTATTGGTTTTATATTAGGGACTCCTTCCAGTGGATTAGCTAGTTGTTGGGCTAATATGGGGGGTGAGAGAAAAAAGAAGAAAGAAGAAGGTATAACCATTCCACAATTGTTGGCCCATGAAGATTTAATTAAATGGCCCAGAATGATTTTTTTTTTTTTTTTTTAAGAAAGAATGTGTAAATTTTAATTGACAAATTAATTATGGTTGGAGTTAAAAAAGTTGGAGCATGGGATTATATTGATCTAGTTGGGTTGTACTTAATTGAGTATTAGTTGATAATGAATGTGGAACAAAGACCCCTAATCTTGTTTGCTTTATCTTTAGTTAACTTTGAACACCTAATATTTCCAACTTATTTTGTGTTTTTTATTTCTTTTCTAATGGCTTTATTCTTTGTTTTTATCAGGTTGGAACAATTTTGCCAAGCAAAATTATAATTAGGTAATCAATCACTATTTTTTTTTTTTTTGACTTTTTCATTTTGAGATATGTAAATAGGACTTAAAAAAAAAAAAATTCATCCTCTCTTATGTAAGTCATTATGACATGTCCCAAAAACTCAAGGAATGCTTAAATGGATAACCAATTAAGTAATTAACCATCCACCCAAATTCTACCTTTCTTGGTTTTATTTTGTTTTAACTTCTTTCTTTGTTCAAAAGTAATTTTCAATAAAAAGAAATAATCTTTTCAATGGATTTGTGATCTTCAATACAGCACCAGATGTTACTAATCAACCTCAATTTAGTTGACAATTTATGATACATAATTCCATTTAACCTAATAATACCTCTAGTTCACTACATATCTTCCATTTTGTGGTTCAAAGATAGAATTATGCATTTCTTTCTTACAAGATTAGAGCAAACAACATTATCAACAAGAACTGAGAACACTTGCAAAATTGAAAGTCAAGATCATGATGGTTTACTTACTATCAACAAACAATAACATAATTAACATTAACCATAGTTGCCATAATTGAGGCTGTGCTTTACACTTGACTATTGACATGTCAAGTTATAGTTCCATCCAAAATTGAGAAATAATTTTTTTTTCTTTTTTCTTTTTTTCCCACGGGCAATTATTGCCCACACAATGATTCTCCAAACAGAAATTATGTTAAAAGTTTAAGATCAAATCTCACATTGAACAGAAAATGAAATTTAAGCTTGAGAATTAACAAGTGAATTGGTTGAGATTGAGAGTAGGCCCCTAAATTATGGGAGTGGTTAGGGCCACTAGTAGAATTGTTAACAACACTAAATTTGTATATAATTTGATTGAAATTTGATTGATTCAAATCAAACAGAATTAATATTTTTTTAACACTGGTTTGGTTGGTAATGATATTATCACACCCTCAATTACTAATGCTACATTTTTTTGTCTTAACTGAGTATTATACCTTTTAATTTATTAAAAAGAAAAATATATATATACATTTTTGAGAAAGACTGTGATGTAATGGTATAATAGATAATTACATTCAAAATGTATAGCATTAATTATTTAGGATGTGGTAATAACCTCATTCTGTTTTGGTGGCCTTAATAATTTTATTGGTGGTTATAACCACACTTCTGTTTAAAACAAATACTACAAATATCAATCAAATCGTATATAAATTTGGTAACTTTAACAATTTAAATGGTGGTCATAACCACATTAATATTTGTATATCTCATTATTATTATTATTGATAAATTTTGAACTTTTGTCTTTGAACAACCTCTTAACTAATCATATATTATTGAAATATTCTGTAAATTGTTCACAAATTTAGTACCTTGAAGTTATAAACTTCACTCATTTTCTTCTATCGCACAACTTAGGTCATTAGATTTGATAGATATAGATTTTATAATATTAGAGATATAATAAGAAATAACATCTTTTTTTAAAACGGTACCCTTTATATTGTATGTTATTTAAATTTAAAATCTCTTATTATAATAAAGAAATATTTATTAAGTCACTTAATATTACTTCTTTTCTTTATGTTTTAAATTTAAATATTTTAAGATATAAGCTTTTTTCTATATAATATTTTTTACAGATAGAAAATTACACCAATCAAAACTTGGTGCAGGATAGAAAAAGAATTATATAATAAATAGTTAAATTATTAATATAAAAAGACATCTTCTCACATATATAATTAAGTTTTGAAGTCCCACTCGATTTTTTATCCTTCTCTTATAAAAAGTTTAATTACACTTAAACTCTATATATATTAAAAAAAAAAAAAAAAACTTGGTGGGAGATAAGGTATTAGAAATTATATCGATAAACAGTTTACATACTTTCTGCTATTTTTTTTTTTCGCACTTTCTATTAATTGCTAAATGTACTTTTTTTTTTCTTTGGGTGAAAATTGCCCAATGTACTTTGAAGTTCATTCCAACACTCTCTTTCTTGTACTTTTTAGCTGAGATTAATCATTCAACTTGTTTTTTTCTCGAACTGTATTACTACTCAAAAATATTTTTTTTACGCAAATTACAGGTTGTTAAAATATTTAAATATATTATTTCATCAAATAATATTTAAATATTTTTATTAAATAAAAATTATTAAAAAAATTGCGTTTATAACTTATATTGTATTTTTTTATATAGTTCCAAATAATGATTATTCTTACTAATATGTTATTTTATGCATGATTAAGGACACAAAATAAATTGTTAATCATGTAAATTTTTTAAATATTGTCTTTTAAATTTTTTTTATTTAATTTAATTATTAAAAATAATTAATAATTATGCTAACGACTTAAATAGTTTAGTGGTAATTTTATTTTTTTCCGTTAGAAATAAAATATCTTAATTTCGAATCGCATAGCATACGAGTAGAATAAAATAAAAAATGAGATAATATTATCTCCTGTTATGTAATCAATATAAAAAAATTGATAATTAAAATTATTAACTAATAAATAATAAAATATTAAATAATAAATAATTAATATTTATTTTTTAGTATATTAAAGTTAATTTATACATTAATAATTTTAAATACCGTGACTATTTATGGAAATAAAAATTCATGTGCTCCTCAATAACTTGTTCTGTGGTGTTTTAACCTCTTCTCTTCCTGCTATTTTCTTAAAGACCTAAGTTGCTTCGTGGTGGGTCCATTTTTTAATTCCTTCCAAGAAATATCCTGTGCCTGATTATGACAATTGACAGATGAAGTGACAACCTTAAGGAACAAAATTGTGGAAAAAATAAAGAAAACTGAAAAATTTTAAAAATAAATATAAGATATATATTTTTTTATTTTGATTACATAATAAAAAATAATTAATTTTTATTTTTTTATTTTTATATATATGTTACGTGATTTAAATTTAAAATTTTTTATTATTAATGAAAAAATATGATAATTAAATTATTTAGATCGTTAATTTTAAGTTAAATTATATTAAATTATATATAAATTAAAAATTTTTATAAAAAAACTATAAATTTAGAGTAACTAAATGAGTTGAATGAATTTATTAAAAATTTTAAATTTTTTATATAATTTAAGTTATATTATACCATACAAAATTAAGATTTAAATAGAAGTAGACTTCTGGAATGTAAAGATGTCTTCCTCTTTTCTACCCTCCAAAGAATAAGAATAAAGGAGTCGAAAAAGTTTATATAAGATAAAAAAGAAAGAGCACAAGTATTGTCTTGTGGATGTGACACCTTTGCAGTTAGCCGACACCCCCATTTCCCTTTGCTCACGACACCCCCCATTTCCCTGCACGTGCAACCACCTTCCTTCACAAATTCAATAATATTTTCCAAAATAGTGCTAAAATGTTAATAAAAGAAATTTTTTTAATTAAAAAAAGAAACAAGAAAGAAAATTCCATTATCCACTCCATCAAAATCTTGAACAATTTAATTATTTTATAATTCCCTGTTAAGATTCCTCTCTTCTTCTTGTTCCTGCAAGTAGTCCTGGCTCATCTTGACTTGAGCCCCATATTTGCAGCTTCATTGATTCTACAAAAGATCTGTCTCTCTCTAACAGGCTCCTGGGCATGTGCAACTCAAAGCCAAAGTGGGTCATATTCCATATTTTTTTTGTATTCATTGTCATTTGTGAGTGCATGTGTATGTGGATATAAAGCCTCATTTATATGTGCTTCTTGGTGAGGCACTGACACATCTCTTTCTTTTTTCTTTTTTCTTTTTTCCCTCTTGTGTTATACACTTACTTCTAAGTCAATCATGAAATGAGCCTGGCATCTATTACTCTCCCTTTTACCTTTTCCTGTTTCCTGCAAAATTTTCAGCACCACCACAGTCCCCATGTTCCTCTCTTATGACTTGTTCTTTTCTTCTTCTTCGTTTCTCCAATCTTCTTACAGAAAAAGTCTGTCTTTTTACCCTGGTGGGTTTTGTGCGTTCTCTTCTTCCCTTGTCCAGCTGTGTCTTACTTGTAAACACAACCAGAATTTCAAAACATTTGCTTTCCATTCCCATTTGGGGTTTTTGAGAGAAATGGGATTCCCATAAATGGTCCTTTTCTTGTCTGAATTGGTGAGTTTTTAAGTACAATTCTTTGTTCTTCCCAAGTGTTTCCCTCATTATTGTTTTTTTGCTGCTACCATTTATTGGACATATCTCATTTAATTCAATTCCTGAGCTGGGGGCATGCTTATTGCGTTTCCTTCCCATTAAATCTCCTCTGTAATTTGTAGTTTCTTTCCATTTCTTCTTCAAATTGATTTATCTTAAAAGAGCATTGTTAGCATGCGGAAAGCTCTAACCACTCGCAAATCTAAATGACATTCATGCGTTTCTCTGGTACTCATAAAAATCAATCCTTTTTATGGTAACTGATATTAATCATGTTTTTCCATATGTGGGTATTGTCAAATTCCCATCTCTGAGTCTGGGTAATCCGGAAGATTTTTCCTTTATCTGATATATTCATCAAAAACCGTTCTTTTCAAGTATTCATTCAGTTCTCCTGTATTCTGATATATGAAATCTTGAAGTTATACTTCATCTGGGTTTCTTTCTGAGACTGATGCAAATAGGAGCCACCGAAAATGGCGAATCTTGTTCCTGGGGTGCTTCTGAAGCTTTTACAACACATGAACACAGATGTGAAGGTCGCCGGCGAGCACAGGTCCTCTCTCTTGCAAGTAATGAGCATAGTGCCTGCGTTAGCCGGAGGTGAGCTATTTCCAAACCAAGGGTTTTACCTGAAAGTTTCTGATTCCTCTCATGCCACATATGTATCTTTGCCCGATGAACAGGATGATTTGATTCTCAGTGATAAGATTCAATTAGGTCAGTTTATTCATGTTGACCGGCTGGAATCTGGGTCACCGGTTCCCATTCTTCGTGGGGTTAGGCCCGTCCCTGGCCGACACCCGTGTGTTGGGAGCCCGGAGGATATTGTTGCAACAGACTCTCCTGGGTTCCTTAATAATGGGAGTAATAATGGCTCAAAACCTAGGGAGAAAGTAAAATCAAATGTAGCAATGGGTCATGGTAGGGAAAAGGAGAAACCAGCAGGGGTTAGATCCAATAGAAGTGCTAAGGGAGATGAATCAGATAAGACAAAATCATCTTTGCCTAGATCAATTTCATCAGAGTCTGCTAGACTAGGATTGAATTTGGATGTGAAGGATTCTTTAAGGAGAGTGAAATCACAGAGTTCACAGTATTCGCAGCCAATTCCTTCTTCTCCCACAAGTTGTTACTCATTGCCTACTTCATTTGAAAAGTTTGCAAATGGGATTAAGCAACATGCCAAGATTAAAGGACTAGATAAGGGAACCCCTAGGGCAGGATTGGCAGAAAAGGTGGTTTCTTTTCAAGGAGCAAGTACACAAGGGAAGAAGGTTCCAGCTATCAAGACTTTGGTTCAGGGGATTGAATTGGGAGCAAAGGCTTTGAGAAAGAGTTGGGAAGGGAATATAGAAATTAAGACTAGGGACAATTCTAAAATGAGAGGCATCAATCACGTACCAAAGCCTGATTCTCGGAGTATATCTGTAAGTGTTATCATTTTTTTATCTTAATTTCTGGAAGTACATGGTTTTATACTAAAATTTATACCAGCACTTAGAATATAAGATTGGTATAATGGCTTTATTCCTTTGTCTATTAAGGGCATTTTATGTTTCCTATTAGTTATTCACTTTGCTCATTTGCTGTTGAAGATGGTTAGGTGAATAATTCAATCAAATTTCATTGCAGTGTTAGACTGTGATTTTAAGAATCTTGGTATCTTATTTTCTCATAATTTTAAGTAAAGGGCCAAAATATTTAGAGAAACAGGTTTCTTATTTTTGCCTTTCATTCCTTTCCTCATCTAATTAAAATTTGGTTGCTAGACCCCTCGAAAGAGTACAGCAAGTGAAAGGGCACCATCTAAAGGGGAGAATAAGTTCCAAATATCTTCCAAGTCTTCAAAGGAGGACGATAAAGTCAAGGTATCAACTAAGACAAAGACAGTGGTTGCAAATGGAACACTGGCTGCTCAAGAAAAGCCCACTGTGCCAAGAAGCTCCATTGGAAAGAAATTGTCTACAGAAGCAACTAATAATGGAGCCCTAGGAAATTTGGTCAAGGTTTCAATAAAAAGTAAAAGATTGACAGAGGGAAGTGTATCATGGGGTTCACTTCCCTCTTCCCTTGCAAAGCTGGGAAAGGTATTAACCCTTTGCTTTATTTCTTGGATCTTGATAACTGCCTTTGCTTGTAGCTAAAGGATTTTATATACTCTGCATGCTGAATTATGGTGCTTGGAAATTCTTTTATGGTGATAATAAAAACAATTGATCCTTGCTTCCAACAGGACATTGTGATTTTTTACTAGTTACTTTGTTATGGAGTTGGATATTATGCTTTTTTTACTAGCTACTTCAGTATGGAGTGATAATTTCTCTTACTGATTTCGTGGGTTAACTATCAATATTTTTTTAATGCTGTCATCCATTAGTTTGATAGTGAATGGTCAACGCTTAGTATTAATTTTATCATATTCATAGTAAAACATAATATAGGCTGATAACTATTCTGGTCTATCAAAATGTATCAATTTTCTCTTTTATTCTTTTTATTTCATCTCTTAAATATTTACTATCTTGTTTGTTATCACAGCAAGTAATGAGATACAGAGATGCTGCACAAACAGCAGCTATTGAAGCTTTAATAGAGGCTGCTGCTTCAGAGAGCTTATTACAATGTTTAAGGTATTGATTTAGTAAACATACAACAAAATTTGGCAGTTAAAGTGGAAATCTCATATCACCTTCAAACTAGAAACAACTAATTTGCATAAGTTTTCTTTTCTCTTCTATAGGGATTGGCTGAGGTTCTTGATTTTTATTTTCTGTCTTTTCCTGGTTGAAAGTTTCTAGTATCACATTTTACCCCCAGAATGGATCAAACTACAGGTCTTGAAATTGTAGAACGTACCAAGTACTATCTGCATAATATTGCATTTTACTTTTTACTTGCTTAGGTTAATATTTCAGCTCCATGATAGTTGGGATTTAAGTTAGGAGATGCTCATGCTCAATTTGAAATTTAAAGGCTTCATCCTTAACTTTATGACAATTTTCTTTGCCTAGTTTAAATCATACTCCAAATACCACACTAATGAGGTTTAGAGGGTTACATGGTCACGGAGGAACATGATCAATTTGTGGGTAACTTCTTAAGTCTGCTGTTATTAGAAGATTTGTTTTTGACCACTATGGTTGGCCAATGCTTTTTTTGGCCTTCAGGATTGTAATCAATTTGTAAATTGCAATGGTTCATCTTAGAGAAGGGAATCCTGGATGTTTGCTTGACCTGCCTAGTCTAGCTATGACCAGGGAGACAAAAGTGTTATAACTTATAACAGCCTGAGCTGGCATTCTGTGTATGTTGAACGAAATGAGTGAAGTTTTCATGTTTTGGAACGCTGATCAGATACTAGTCCATGAGATCTATCATGTTTTGTTGTTTCTGTTT